TAGAAATGACTGAAAAGAAGCAACAAGTATGCATGTTAAACCTTTTATCAGATAAAATATATTTTCTGTTCAAATATCAATTTTTCACATTGCTTTTTGTTCTTTACAACTATGGCAGGTAGATCAAAATATGAAAATCCTGATAAAATCCATTTTTATTTATTAATTTACATTACACTAAGTCAAACACTTGTAAAACAGCTTAGATGTCTTGAATGCTTTTACCTTCATATGTTAATTGTTGTAAAGCCTGTATGTTAAAATACATTGATGGATAGAAAAATATCTGAACTCTAAAAACCAAAAGGATACATGAGGAATGAATATGAAAATTTCATATGAATATGAATCTTTGTGCCTATCATGGTTTAACCCCAGCCATCAACCAAGCACCATGCAATCACTTGCTGACTCCATCACTAAAGGGATGGAGGGGAGAATCAGAAGGGCAAAAAGTGAGAAAACTCATGGCCTGAGACAAAGACATTTTAATAGGGAAAGCAAAACTGTGCTTGCAAGCAAAGAAAGACAAGGAATTAATTCACTGTCTCCAACCAACAGACAGGTGTTCAGCCATCACCAGTAAAGCAGGGCTCCATCACACCTTGTGCACCATCATGCCATGTGTACCCATTTCCTTCTTCTTCCCCCAGCTTTATATACTGAACATGATACCATATAATATGGAATTGAGGATGAATAATATTCTGCTTTTGGCTGGGGTAGAGATACTTTTCTTCACAGTAGCTGCTATGGGCTGTGTTTTGGATTTGTGCTGAAAACAAGATTGACAATATAGAGATGGTTTGGTCATTGCTGAGCAGGGCTTACACAGAGCCAAGGTCCTTTCTACTTCTCCTACTGCCATGATGGCAAGGAGTCTGGGGGTGCACAAGGAGCTGGAAGGGAACACAGCTGACTCCAAGTGGCCAACGAGATATCCTATAATACATAGTGTCATGCTTACTTTGTAAAACTGAGTGAAGCAGGAAAGGGAAGACATTTGGAATGAGGGCTTTGTCTTAAAAAAAAAAAACTATGATGAAGGCCTGTTTTCCTGGAGATGGCTGAATAGCTTCCTGCCCATAGGAAGCATTGAATTAATTCCTTGCTTTGTTTTGTTTGCGCGCACAGCTTTTTTTTTTCACCTATTAAAATTTCTTTATCTCAACCCACCAGTTTTCTCATTTTTACCCTTCCAATTCTCTTCCTATCCTGCTGATGAGGGAATGAGTGAGCAGTTACATGGTGCTTATTTAACAGTTGAGATTAAATCATGACAGTGCCTAAATAAAAAGCTAGGATTTGTTCAACTTCTTCTTTGTATTACTATTTTAGCCTTTGTGTATACTGCATAGATGTCCTCTGAGAATCTATAAAGCTATGCACAACTACACAGTAACAGATGCCCTTTATATTAAATCACCACTGTCTAATTTTACAAGAGCTTACAAGCCAAAATAACAAAACTTAAAAGCAGAATGAAGAGCATTAGGTGATAGACTTTTTTTTATTAGTTCAAATTTGTATATCCATTAACTCAAATCTTTATGGCCACACTGACAGTGAGATTCAAAACCAATAATATGTAGAGAAGTTGGAAGAGGAGCAAAGGTGAACATAAGGGCATCACCAGAGCCTGGCCATCCATATTTTGATTCTTGTTTGTTTTAATTGTTTCTTGAAATGTTACCTGGTTCCCCACAGCATTGCTCTCATGAAAAATAATTGAAAAAAATTAAATAAATTGAAATAAATGAAAAAAACAATCTCTGACTGAGGACACAGTAATGCAATACAATTTTCCTAGGGCTGCAATCCAATTAATTATATTGTAATATAATCCTAATCTTGCAATAAATCATATACCTGAGATACTCATGTAAAATCAAGTTCTCTATAGATCAGGGCCATAAATTTTGAAACCATATTAACAGCCTTAAAATATAGGAAATCTGTTTTGTTTTAGTTTGTGCTTTGTACAATTAAAAAACCCACCTCCTAGAGAGAAAGAGATTGTTTTTAAGTGAATATCATCAAATTGATAATTGTCTTTTCATATAATCTCACCAAGCCTGCCTTTCTGAATTATGTTGATGGACAATTTTTACTGTGAACAAAAACACTTTACGAGTAGAGCAGCCCTGGGGAATGAGATGCTGGAAAGCAATGCCAAAGAAAGGGACCTGGGAATACTGCTTTAATGAAGGTTGAACATGAGTCAGCAGTGCCCTGGCAGCCAAGAGGGCCAGCCCTGTCTTGGGGGCCATCAGGCACAGCATCACCAGTTGGGCAAGGGAGGGGATTGTTCTGCTCTGCTCTGCTCTGCACTGGGGTGCCCTCACCTCGAGTGCTGTGCAGTTTTAGGTGCCAGAATACAAGACAGATATTAAACTAGTAGATATCATCCAAGTGGGGCAACAAAGATGGTGAAGGACCTTGAGTGGAAGCCGAGTTGAGGTTGCTTGGTCTGTTCAGCCTGGAGAAGAAGGGAGATATTGCAGTTGCAACTTCGTGTGAGGGAAAAAGGAGGGGCAGGCACCATTCTCTTCTCTTTGGTGACAGTGTCAGGACCTGAGGGAATGGCCTGAAGTTGTGTCAGGGGAGGTTTAGGTTAGATCTCAGGAAAAGGCTCTACTCCCAGAGTTTAGCTGACACTGGAAGAGTCTCTCAGGGAAGTGTTCACAGCTCTAATGTGACAGAGTTCAAGAAGCATTTGGACAATGCTCTCAGGCACATGATCTTGGGGGTGAACTTGTGCAGGGCAGGGAATTAGACTTGATGAACCTTGTGGGTCCCTTCCAACTCAGAATATTCTGTGATATGCCATTTTAGGGACCAAACCAATTGCTCATAGACTAACATAAATAATAGACAATGAGGATCAACAGGTTAATTAATAAATTCACTGCTCATGGTAGGACACCTAATAGCTCTCTGTTGTTTACTCCCTCACCAAGACGAATAAGGGATGACTGCTGTTACTTATGGAATTCTATTGCTCCTTTTACTTTGCCAAGTTGCTGTTTTTCAATTCTCTGTTATTTCTCTAGGATTTCTTACCTTTTCATTTCAGTGTTTTCCCTCCTGAATCCTTGATCTACTAACTACCCAGTCTCAATAGTCTTCTCTCTGTCTGAAATTTTACCTTTCTTACCTTGAATAGCTTACAGCTTATGCACTTTCTGGTGGCTCCTTCCTACTGCTTAGCAGTTTTCTCAAAAATCCAAGCCAAGATTGCACAGCTGTTCTCTATCAAAACCAGGCTTTGTATCACAGCCAAGTGAATCCCTGGGAGGAGGGTTATATACAGGTTACACCTATGCTGGTTTATTTGACTGGGTCAGGGGCCATCACAGGGTACTGGACGACAAAAAATCTGTCATTAAATTACTGCCACATTTAGCAGTTTGATCAGGGGCAACTAGTACTCCCCAAATTGTACCTGAGCATGCTTTGAGGGATAGTATTGCTCAGTAACTCTTAAAACCTCATAGTTTTGACATGGCTTCCCAGTAGTGGAGTGTGAGAGAGTTTAATAATGCAAACTTCAACACCAAAGAGAAAAAACAGGCATGTATAATTGATTTGTCAGCACTGTTCCCAGGTGGCCAGGAAGGCCAGTGGCATCCTGGCCTGTATCAGGAATGATGTGGCCAGCAGTAAGCTAATCTTCAGCACTGGTGAGGCTGCACCTTCAGTGCTGTGTCCAGCTCTGGGCCCCTCAATTTAGAAAGGATTTTGAGATGCTCGAACGCATCCATAAAAAGACAAAGAGGCTGGTGAAGGATCTAAACCACAAGACCAATGAAGGGCAGCTGAGAGAGCTGGGGGTGTTCAGCCTGGAAAAAAGAAGGTTTTTTTTTCACCTTATTCCTCTCTATGACTCCCTGAAAGGAGGCTGTAACCAGTTGGGGGTTTGTCTCTTCTACCAGGCCACCAGTGACAGGACAAAAGGACACAGTCTTAAACTGCACCAGGGAAAGTTTAGACTAGGCATTAGAAAAACAATTCTTTACAGGAAGTGTGGTTGGTCACTGGGCTACCCAGGAAAATGGTGGAGTCATTGCTCCTGAAAGCATTTAAAAACAGACTGGATACATGGCACTCAGTGCCATGGCTTAGCTGCTAAGCTGGTGCTAGGTCATGGGTTGGACTTGATGGTCTCCAAGGTCTTTTCCAAACTAGTTGATTCTGTGATTCTATGATTCTGTGATTAATGCAGATTTAGCCTATCATATCACCAGTCTGACATCAGCAACAGGGGAAAGGGGCATACAAACTAAAATAAGAATTAATATATTATCCATTATGTCAGCTATAGTGAATATATTTCAATTATAATAAGACACTTTCAGGAGATTTGGAGAGTGAGAATACTTGATTGTCCAAAATTACCAAAATCACTACAATTCAATAGCAAAATCCACAAAGCTGTGAGGAAACAAAACAAAAAAAAAAAAAAAAAAAAAAAAGAAACTCAAAAACAGTTTTCCAAATGAGGACAATTTTTTTTTTAAACCATATATGATTTTTTTCCTGAACAAATATCCAAGAACATGAATGCATGCACGCATGAAACAGAATATGTTTCAGTGAAGGTTGCTAACACATTCCTCCCAAAATAACTTCAAAGAATTAACATAATGAATGTGTAAATTGAAGCAGAAACTTGTTACATTTTTGCTGCCCTACAAGCTGAAAGCAGCTTGGCTGATTTGCTTTGAACTTTCAAAATATTCTTCTTTTGTAGTTTCAAACTAGGCAAAAGAATTTTTAGGACAGATAGTATAACTTTAAACAATAACAAGGTACTGAAAAGTAGGCCAACAAGTGGAATATTGGTTGAATCTTTAACTAGTCTCATTCTTTCAAGTTCTGCAGATTCATTCCATAGTCTGTAGAAACATGCAAAATTTAAGTTTTTATGTGGGTTTGCTTAGCATTGACACAAAGCAAAATTGAAACATTCCTTTTGAATTGCAATGTATTTTATACAGCTCCTCTCCAGCCATCAGAATATTCTGCACTGTTAATGTTGAAAGAGTTGGAGGAAAAGAGAAAAGAAGAAAAAGAAAAGAAAAGAAAAGAAAAGAAAAGAAAAGAAAAGAAAAAAAGAAAAGAAAAGAAAAGAAAAGAAAAGAAAAGAAAAGAAAAGAAAAGAAAAGAAAAGAAAAGAAAAGAAAAGAAAAGAAAAGAAAAGAAAAGAAAAGAAAAGAAAAGAAAAGAAAAGAAAAGAAAAGAAAAGAAAAGAAAAGAAAAGAAAAGAAGAAAAAAAGAAAAGAAAAATAAAAGGAGAAAGGAAAGAAAATACTTGTTTTGTACCTATTTCATGTTTACTCAAAAGGAAACCAGGTAATGTATATCACAGTGCAGTTCATAGAGAAAGGAGCAGAAGTAAATTAAAGTCAAAGAGTAGAAACTCCATATGCCACAGATTGTTGAACACCTGTTTTTCCCTAACACCCTTTAATCTATTAGGAGGGCAATGTTAGACTTGTGGAAGGGGAGCTAGTGATATTAAAAGCACAAGCTATATTTCATAAAAATTTTGTTTGTAAGGCTAGAACTGGCACATCATATTATGAGACCAAAGAGCAGAGAGACTGAAGTTTCACAGCTCTATGATGCCTAGTTGTTTAAAATTGTTATTGGTCTTTTTGTTTTTATTGCTGTTTTATGCATTTTCTTATTTTGCTTCCAGGCAGTTTTTCCACCAGTTTCTTTATTGTGCTTTTGTACATAGCAATCAATGATCTTGTTTCCATATCTACACCTACAGGAGACCTATGTTCTCTCACTCCATCTGCCATCAACCTCTCAGGTAATAAATGAGAGAGATGATAAGCACTCTGCTTGCCTCCCTCAGGTGCTCTGACTCACTCTTGTGGAAGTGTTTTTTGCTTGAGGGATCCTGGCTGCTAGTGCTTTCCTCCTTTTTTCTCTCTCCTGCACCAATGAATAGCCAAAAGCAGACCATGGGACCATAACTGCTAGCCATCTGTTTTCTCTGTAAACTAAAAAAAGCATCAAAAAATTTGAAATAAGTCACTCTCATCGTGAATTGGTTTATTAAAAGTGTTATACTCTATGAACAAAGAAAGAGAAGCAGGAGAGAATTAGAGAATAAGAGATAGTTATTCTTTATCACTGAAGTTTTCCAATCATAAAATAATCAGTAAAAAAAAATCTAAGTAATTCAAGTCAATTCTTTAGGAGTTCTGCAAATGTGTACTCTTCCATCACTGATATTTTAACATTATTTTACACCCATATATGCATGCATCTTTTAAAAGGTACAAAATACACTCATGAAAGGTACTAGGACACTCATAGACTTTGAACCCTTTGAGTTAAGGTCTGCAACAGAAAAAAAAAAAAAAATTTAGCTCTAGTTAATTATACTATTTTTTGGTCAGCATCTTTCTTTTCTGGCATTACTTCCAAAACACAGAAATGGTGTTAAAAAAAAACTCGAAAAAGATAGCTTGAAAAAAATTTAAGAACTGTAAATGTTTGACTATTATAGGATAAGATTCCAAGTAAGAATTACAGAAAAAGCAAATTTAGTCAAAAGTGTTAAAAAGGAAGAACTCTCACAGAATCAGATAATGAGATGTGTTAGAAACTGAAATAAAAGGTGCCTTCAAAGGATGGAAATTATATCAGTGGTATTAGTGGACTAAATGTCTAGGTATAAACATTTTCAATGAAATAATAAAGTTTCTGAGCAAAATTGCTTAAATGTGATGTCAAATTATTAGGGTTATCATCAAGAAAATCAATCACTTCAAAATTTTCTTGTTTTAACTAAGCAAAACAAATACTTTGTCAGCAATTCCCCCCCTCCAATCTTTTGCCATATTGACTAAATTGTGTGTTTGGACTTACAAGTAACTTTGGTATTTATTTCAACCAAGAATCTGGAATATTTCTTTTTTTTTTTTTTTTTTTTTTTTTACCAACCTAAAATTTTTATTTGTTTTAGTATTGTTTATTTACTGCAAAGAAATATTATCCAACTATTTCCAGATGCCCACGTGGGAAAAGCTGCTGCTCACAACGATAAAATCACAAACAGGTGTCTGGAAAACTTTCAAAGATCCTTTGATTCTCAGCTGATCTCAGGCCAAAGAAAGCTCCTAAGTATGATATGGTTGTGTTTTTCAAAAGAATCTGCCCAGATCTTTGAGAGACAGGAGTAGGAGAGAGTGACTAACAGCTACTTATGGAAGATTAGATCAGGCTATTGTTGGATGAGCACAAACCTCCAAAATCCTTCTTGTTATTTCATTGGGAATAAACGGTGATGATTTGTACCTTTGGCTGCCAAAGGAGCAACAGCCCAATAATAGCTTATCAGAGTGTGAGAACCTCTTGAGGTAATTCTGATTACATGATGAAAAAAAAACAGGATACCATGTCTATCATCATCAGGAAAAAAGCTGAATTACCTTTTCCAAATTCTGGTTTCATTGATTATACAAAGTTTAATCCCAGGATGTTAAAAAATGCCTTATACTCTGGGAAAAAAACAACACTGGCTTTATTCATGGGTCATCACATGACTTTGTGATAATACTTGAAATAAGAAAGATTTTATCTCCCATTCTTTTGAGGAAATACTGAAAGTTAATATGTCTGGTTTTGTTAAAAATGACAAGAGGGACATATAAAATATACTACAGTGGACTGACCAGTTAAACTGAACATCTTTGCTTGTTTTAATATAGTGGTTTGAAAATAAGCATTGCTGTTATGTAATTAAATTGATTTTGTAATATTCCATACTTCAAACGTTTATTTTCTCTTTATTATCTTCTGCATTTTCCACATTGTTAGTAATGGTTTTGGGGCACTATAAATAGTTTCTCAAACATTTGAAGTTTATCAGTTTTGAATAATTTTTACTACCCAATGAATTTACCCCTGTGCACAGACATATGCGCATACATGCAACCCTCCACACACCTTTCAATATAGTGTTGTAATAATACAGGAGACAATAAACTGAAAAGAAAAGAAAATTGCACAATTAGTATAATGATCTATATTGTTTGTGTAGCAACCAATATACTTTATACTTAAGACACAACCTTGAAAAAGCTGCAAATTACAAAGAATATATCTGTGTGTTAAAATTAGAGAGCTTACCACTAATTTATCAAATATTTAATTTAGTCATAGATTAGTAAAATAAAAGAGCCTAAGGTCATAAGAAATTATTAGGACATTCAATCTGACCAGCACATTACAAGTAATTACATTTTTCTTCACTCATTTTATATCAAACTGAACAATTTTTATGTAATGTATCTTTTATGAGTAGCTTGCTTGCATCTGAACTAATCAAGATATTTAAAATATCTTCCACTTGTCATAATTATTATTTTTTTAATTTGTGCAGATTAAGGCTTCAATCATCTTGTTTCCTTCATTCTAGTAGAACATTATTCTTTTATGTTTTATTTCCTTCTTTTCTTATGAAATATTACATCAAAGTCAGTGACTTGATTAAAAATGTAGACCTATATGAGTAAAACAACATCATAGCATGAATCTGACCACAAGCATCTGGACAAACAGGTGATGGCTTAAGTTTTAGCTTTTATATTTTCCAGATTCTGTACTGCTTTAGTACATAACTCTGAACTTCCTATAAAGTGTGTAGGGCGCCAGTCTCTAGGGAGTGCTGTTCTCCAGGACAGTTTCGATGAATGGAGACAAGAGATCTCTGAAGGCTGCTTTTAGAATATCAGGTTTATTAGGGATGGTGAAAGGTCTTGCAAGGCCTGAGGTGATGGGGGAGGGGAGAGAGAGGATGTTCTAGGGGAGGGTGGAAGATCTAAGAGGGGAGAAGTTCCAAGAGAGGAGAAGTTCCAAGAGGGCGTCTGGCCCCTCGGAGACCCTTTATCAGGGGGCTTCAAGGTGGGTTGGAACAAGACTTGGGCCAATGGGGTCACAGACACTTGATGCTTCAGGGTAGGGTTACAGGTGTGGGATGAACCATACATTTTGGGGGGTTGAGATGGAACAGTCCATTTGACTTTTGGACCTATCTGTAGGTAAGGGTATTGTCCAGCCAGTAGGGGGGGATTGTTTTCATCCTGGCTGTATTATTGTAAACTTTTGCCAGGCAATTATATTTATCCATCCTTCCCAACAAAATGTTTGCAAGTTCTCTTCACAGTTTAGTCAGACAAAACAATCCTTTTCCAGCCCAAGTGCCGAGGACAGTTGTTATAGCCTCAGGCCCAAAAAGTCCAAACAGTGAATGGAGAAGAGCAATTTGGGAGGATGGGGCTTCATAACCTGCAGCTCTTATTGACAACTAACCCCAATATGTAAAAGGACCAAAACCTATAAAAGTGTGAAAACTCATGACCGATCATCCATCCTGGGTGCATCTTGGGTCCATCTCGGGCAGAGCCCCATCCAGGCTCTTGTGCTGCCCAAGGTGTGTCCTTTGAAGGCTTTTCAATAAATACCTCCTCTAACTCTGTTCTAGGTACCCTCTCCAGGCATCACAGGTGTCTGGAAAATTTTAGCTTACCCATTCTGTTGCTATTAACATACTGTCTGAAAAGCTTTCAACTGAGCACAGCTAGTACTGGCTGATGCAATGCCAGAGTATAGCCCAAGGATTTAAGGCATCAACAGGGGGATCAGTTCTAGTGATCAGTCTGTACGGAGCTACCTTGTTTCTGAAGGGACAGCGTAATTGTATGATTCATGACTTGCTGAGTGATATGGATTATCAATAACCTCCTTGAAATGCACTTCTGTGGGTGTGAAATCAGTTTGTAAAAATGAAGAGGAAATAGTATAATTGGATTTAAAAGAGCTGGGAAAGTGAATTTGAAATGTTTTATATCAAAATTAATCACATTTTTCACCTTAGTTGCACTCAGAATATAATGAGAGACTGTGTGGGTAATTTCTCCTCCATATGAAATATGATTTACAAGGATATGTGCAAACTACAGCACTTAAATCTCACTTATGGCCCAGCAGGACACCACTGTTTAGAAGACAATAAACAATATTAATAGTAAAGAATTCGGGAGCAAGAATGCTTTTGAATGAAGACATGCTGAATGAGTATACAAAGAAAAGGGGCTCCAGAAGAGTTATACAGAAATTCAAGATAGCAAGTATCAAAAAAAAAAAAAAAAAGAAAACAAAAGAAATAGGCGTGACTACATGGAAATAATTTCTGGCAAAGAATAAAAGGGAGTATTTCAAGCCACATAAATGCTAGCTCCAAACACAAAACTAAATCTAGAAAGATTCCTACATCCACTCAATCTTGCTTTAAGCATCAGGATTGACTGTAGAAAATGAAAAACTGCAGTAATAGAACTTAATGAAAATTCAGGAGTTCTCATCTCTGAGGGAGTCTTCCCTTGCTTCACAGTGATGCTACACAAAAACACATGGGAAAGCTGAGACAAGGAAAACTGACATAAAATTAAATTTACTGATTTTCAATGTCTGAAGGTTATGGGAAAGCTCAGTGGGGGTTTTTCCTGTACGTGGTTGATAATAGAAGCCAGTTCCATTCTGCTTCAGCTACCTACTTTTGTTAGCTGGAAGAAGGCCCATAGTTGTTGCCCCCGAAAAATTTCCACTGCAGAAGGAAAGTCCTCCATTTTTAAGTTATTTGACATAAGCCTCTGATGGGGGATAAGAGGATGGAAAGACTCTGCTGTCACAAAATCAGAAACAATCTCTTTTATTTCTTTCTGAAACTGTAGGATATTGAGGATAAATATGTCTGTGAACACCATAGAGAAAGTTCCCATCTCTCAGGGATTCTTGCCTAGACACCCAGTGATGCTACAAAAAAACACACGGCAAAGCTGAGGCAGTGAAAACAGAAATCAAATTCTCAAACTAGCAGGGTACTGGGGATTAGTATGTGAACACTGGTGGCTGAAAGTTCTCAGTAACTGAATCCTGTAAAGCCAGCCACCTATGTGTGTGTCTTAATACAAACAAGTTGCTAGAAACAAGAAAGCTCATCAGAATCATAAAATCATTTAAAAGTATTAGTTGCAAGAGACCTTGAAGATCATCTGGTTTTAACCTCTGCCATGAACAGGGATATCCTCCACTTAGATCACTATGGTCAAAGTCCTGTCCAACCTGAGTTTGAACACTTCCAGGAATGGGGCATGTACAACTTCTCTGGGCAACGTTTTACAGTGTCTCACTATTTTCCTCATAAAAAATTTCTTCCTTCTATCTAATCTAAGCCTATTATCATTTTGTTTAAAACCATTCCCCTTGTCTTATCACTGCAGGCTTTAGTTAAACCTCTACCTTCAGAGACCCCTTTAAGTATTGACATACCACAGTAAGGTCTTCTATGAATGCTCCAAAAATGGATTACACCCCTGAGCACTTAACATTGATTACTACCATGAAAACAAATTATTTTCACCATGCTGACATGGCTTTTTCCTTGATAATGGCTTTTGTTTTTTTAAATCTTGAGTTATGTTAAACAAGTCTGTAACTCAAAATTTCTCCAGTATCCCATTAAATGTGCTGTAAGCATAGCTACATAGTTTCAAAAACCCAGTATTCACAAGCATGATTATCTCAAATTATCCAAAAAACCATGAGAAGAATAAAATGAGGAAAAAAATGTGGTCAGGGAAGGAAAAAGGTGTCTTTGGTATTGATTATAATATTTTGACGTACATCTTTACATTTCTAAAGTATAAATTTAATGGGAAATTTCAGACTTCATAAAAGGGCAAATGTTTATGCTTTAATATCAAGTCAAATGCTTTTAAAAGTCTAATGAGAATTTCACTTCTTTATGTCAAACCAGAAATGGGAGATAAAGTAAATGTAGCGGGTAAGGGCTTTCCAGGCTAAATGACCATATTTTGTCCAAAATTTTTAAATTTCTTTCTAAAATAGATTTTTTTTTAATATAATATCAGCAAAACCCACATTGGAAGAACTCCTAAAGTTACAGAATTGGTGACATTTCCATGAGAACATCTGGCAGGTTTGACAGTTAAATGACACATGATGTAAACAGAAAAATAGTGCAAACCCCTATTGAAAAATTATTTTTCTTCAGTTTGAGTCTGTAAGACCTTTAAATGCCTGGCTGTAAGTTTTCTCTTACTGAATATGTTAACATGATTGACAGTAAAGGAAATATATGTGTGGAACCTTTGAACAAAAAAAAAAAAAAAACAAAACAAAGACCACAAAACAGAAAATACAATTTAATTCACTTCAAAAACATACATATATGTATGTGGAAATATATATGTATGCTTATATGTATGCATGCACTTATATATGTGTTAAAGAAAGTATCTTTCAGATATCTCTTTGATAATGTACCTCATCATTAGCTATGGGAATGTGGCAGATTTCAATTAAGATTTAAACATTTTTTACTTAATCTTCTACTAAATTCTAAAAATATGTTTATTATCTATCCAGATTGTATGCAGTTAAGTCATTTGAAAAAAAAAACAAACATGTATATATATTAATCTATATAAATAAAATCTAAAACAAAATTTAAAACCCCTCATAACACATAGATGCATGGGATTTTTTAAATGCATGCATTTCTTAAAAGATTGATCTACCCTGTGTGTTGTTTTTAATAAAGAAGTCTCTAAAAATATACATGTTAACACATGATTTTAATAGCTTTGTGGTCTCAGTTCTTTATAAATTGTTCTTATAAATGTCTAGAAAGAAAAATATATCACTGATTGCTGAACACTTTTTACCATATTGTTTTCTTTTACAGATTTCTTTTGTTAAAAATTAGGTCAATAGTCAATCTGTCAACAATTTTACAGCATGTTATGAAATATTAAATATTATTTAGATTAATTTCCTTTATTAATTTTTAAGAAATATTTACAAAAGGTTTTCTATTTTCCTTAAGAAAAACAGCATTAGGTCTTGAGGCTTGATATGGTAAAAAAAATAGAAGCAATGTGACTTTGAACTTTTTTACAGTGATTGGGAAGAACAGAATATGAACTATGACTCAGCCCAAAGATTCTATTTCCAGCCCAGTGAATTGCAATGATTTAAAAGTTATTATTGGGTCATATTTTGGCCAAGCTCTTCCAGTACTATATTTTAAAGTATCTTCATAAATGCTTTGGATTATTTAGAGAGCCAGGAAATGGAATTTTTGATATTATGAAAAAAATAGGTGTAATACATAGAGTTTGACAAAAATGTTACATATCAAATTATATATCTGCACAATTTTTCTACATCCCTATAGCCATAAATGACCTCTATGTAAAAATAGAAACATAGTTCAATTTGCAAATATAACTCATTCATTAACCTATAATATCAGACCAAATCCAGTATAATTTAAATGAGTAGGTTGTTATTTCATTGCCCCCTGAAAATCTGAATGAATATTGTGCCTGATTTGATATTCTTATTAAAATGATACCTTTTTTTTTTTTAGAAAATCTGCCTTTCAAAAGAAAAATTAGTCCTAAAAAGCTGTAAAAACTTCAGCTTCCTGAGTTTTATATATTAGCATTTTATCCTCTGATTTGTATTTTTATAGTAACTAATTAACAGGTGAATGTCTTCTAAAACCTTACGTTTCAAAATGTAATTTTCTATTACTGGTGGGTAACAAATGAAAATGAAGCATGGTTACACTCCAAAACAAAGAGACAGATAAGAAGCGCATACTTGATTTTGTGTGAGAGAATGCTCCTCATTTAATGACCTCATTTGTTCCCTTTCACATATTGGGTTTTTTAATGTGAGATCATAGACACCATTTCATGTGCAGGAATACCACCATTATTCTTCCTTGTAGTCAATGCTTCTTCCTTTCCACACTTATGCTTTCTGTACTCACCCTTCTCCTTCTTTCTGCCTCTCCCCTGTGGGATCTCAGTAATGAAAAGTGTATATGAAGGAATAGGCAATAAATTCAAATGATCTCTTGATTGTAAGTTTCAAATGGTCAGCAATGCCAGTCCTCAGAAAGCCAGCCTCCAGCCTTTTCTACTGGAAGGACATGAGACCTATGTTACAGGTAACTTCTCTGACTCTTGTCTGGATATGGCACATGGAAGAAAACAGAAAACAAATGTTGAAAACACAACGAAAGATAGTATATTGAAAGGGCCCATATATTTTCTCCCACATAGTTATTTCCCACATCATTCGTAAATGTATATCAATGAGAATTGGTGCCCCTCGGGGATTCGTGTAATGATGGAACAATTGTTATTTAATATCTTCATTAATGACATATTATAAAGGGATCAAGTGCTCCCTCAAAAAATATGCAATGACTCCAAGCTGAGTGGTGCATTTGGCACAAGCAAAGGATGGAACATCATCCAGAGGGACCTGGACAAGCTCCAGAAGTGGGCCCACGGTAATCTCAAAAGGTTTAGCACCAGCAAGTGCAAGGTTCTGCACTTGGATCAGAGAATGGTGTCAGTATAGGCTGGGGTATGAACAGATCCAGAGCAGCTCTGCCAAGAAGATCTTGCGGGTACTGATGGATGAGTGGCTGGACATGACCTGGCAACACCCCCAAAAGCCAAACTTATCCTGGGCTGCACCAAAGTAGCGTGGCCATCAGGGTGAGGAAGGGGATTTTGCCCCTCTGCTCTGCCCTTCTGAGATACCACCTTCAGAGCTGCGTCCAGTTCTGGGGTCCCCAGAACACAGACCTGTATTATCAAATGCAGATGAGGCTCAGCAAAACAATAAAAGGGATGGAGTTTATTACTTTTCCTGTGAGGAAAGGCTGATAGAATTAGGTTTGTTCAGCTTGGAAAAGGAAGACTTTGGGATGACTAAACTGCAGCCTTTCAGTCCTATAAGAAAACCTACAAAGATCATGTAGTGAAAAACTACAAAGAGCATGTAGTGACAGGACAAGGGGGAATGGATTCAAACTGAAAGAGAATAGGTTTAGATTAGGTATTAAAAAATTATTTTCTGTAAGGTTAGTGAGGAACTGGAATAGGTTTCCTAGAGAAGTTGTGGATATCCCATCCTTGGAAATGTTCAAGTCCAGATTGGATGGAGCTCTGAGGAAGTTGATCTAGTGGAAGGTGTTCCTGCCTCTGACAGGAGTTGTAACTAGGTCTCTTCCAACTCAGACAATTCTATGATTCAATGATTCTATTATTAGTTCCTATGGAGAATTTTTTAAAAGAAAAATCCTCTCTAGTCAATATTACTCAAAATAGAGATATGTTACTTTCAGCATAATGAAGTGCTTCTTTTGGAGAATGCCAAGAGGATTTTTAATAATAACATTAATGGAGGAAGCTGATTCAATTTCCTTCTTATCAAATCAGACTACTAGTCTCAGACTGAAATCTTACAATTTTCTGAAGCTACAAGAAATTCTCTGTATACATTAGTAAAACTGCAAAATGAATATATTTCTATTCATCTGTTTTTGCAACTAATCCACCCTGTCCCACTAGTTCTTAAAAAAAAAAAAGAACCAAAAAAGGATAAAGAACAACAGCTGTATGATGGTGAGATTACAGAGAATTAAGGTGAGGGAGAATGGAATGACCCAAAAAAGCAGTAAGGAGAACCTTGGCTCTGACCCTCTTCCTTCTCTGACAGAAAAAAAATCCTGTAGGATTCCTCTGGGACACTAACAATCCAGAATGATTTCTACCTTTATTCATGCAGGTGTCTGTGAGCAGAGTACTCACTATGCTTGGAAAACATATTTTAAATGGCCTGAAAATCAGTGTCTAGTCACATTTTCCTATTGATACAGGCTCTTTTTTTTTATGATACTTTTTGATTTTCTTCCTGTGGAACTGAAATGAATTTAAATTTTTTTTTTGCATCAAACATAGAAAACAACTAAGGAATTGAAGACTAAGTATGAAGAAACTACTCACTGGGTATAAAATATTCTCATCTTTAAGAAAGCATGGATCTTTGGCATTAAGGAAAGCTTTGCAGCAGGTCATATATCTCAGTATTCTATGGAGTTTTGTAAAGCTTGTACCAGGAAAGTCATAAGGACTCCTTTTATACAGGTCTGAAGTCCTTGGAACTAAGAAAAACAATATCATAATTCAGAAATATATAGAAATATGCCTTTCATCCTGCCTGTTCGTTTTGGAGTGATATGTTAAGCAATGCTCCACTTTCCTCAAACATACTGTTGATATGTTATTTAATTATAATAGTTAAGAACTTATTTTTCAAGCCTGATTGCAAAAAAAAAAAAAAAATTAAAAATTTTCTTATTTTATAGAAAGAAGAATCAAAGTGAATGAAGAGTGGAAATTTTATTATGGAATAAAAAATACCTTTACATAGACTAGATTAGATGGGACTGTAAAGAATGACAGAAGATGAGCTAGTAAAAGGGGGATATGGATGTTTGAGAATGCACACAAAACTGCTGGTTTATTTTCATTTTTCTATTTGAACCAAAGATATTATGAAGTATACTATATGAATTGGAATTTATTGAGCTATTTAGTTGAGGTTTTTAATTATATTTTCCTTCATGCAAATTTATTCCTAGATTTTAATCAATAATTTGCATATCAGGACTTGAATTTCATTAAAGCATAGCCAATGCCAAAATTGCTTTTGCTATTCTAAATTTTTAGTCTTTTCCTCTCTCATTGAATGCTACCATGTTTATGGAATTTTTGCCTCATATTCCTAGATAGAGAAATTCAGTTCTTGCAATTGTTTCTAGGCTTTTCAACTTTATTTCCTTTATCTTAATATTTTACTCTGGCAAATTGCATCGGGTTTTTTCTTTGGTTTTTTTTTTTTCTCCCTAGCTCTGTCTTTCTAAATATTTTCATGAAGAATTTTTCAGCAATTTTAATTAATAGTAAAAGAATTTTTTCTGCGTGTGGATGTTTCAAGCTTAACATTAAAATAAAGTTTTATGTTTAAAATAAGTTCTCTGTCAACTCCCATAACACAAGGTGATTCCCCCTCGCCCCCCGAGATTTAATTTTTCTTTCAAATTCTGTTGCTTTAACTTTTTTTTTCTCTTACAGATTCTCTAGTGGTCTTCCTTTTGTAGTCACTCAGTTGGACCTACTTTTAGCTGATTTGTACTACAATATATCCTAGTATTACTGACTCCAAAAATTTCTGTTATGAATCTATCTCTAGTCCAATACCTATAAATGTTACATGGAAATATAGTGACAAAGGATGAAAAAAAGGCTGAAATACTTATCTTCTCCTTTGCACCAGCCTTTAATAGTAAGAGCAGTTGTTCTCTGGGTTCTGGTTAGAAGAGAGGGACAGGGAACAGAATAAAGCCCGCATAATCCAAAGGAAAATAGTCAGTGCAGCCAGTTTTCTGAAGACACCAAGGTAGGTGGGAGCATTGATCTTCCGGAGGGCAGGAAGGCTCTGTAGAGGGATCTGGACAGACTGGATTGATGAGCCAAGGCCAAAAAAAAGAGGTTGAACAAGGTCAAGTGCCAGGTTCAGCACTTGGTTACAACAACGCCCTCCAGTGCTGCAGGCTGGGGACAGAGCGTCTAGAAAGTTGCCTGGTGGAAAAGGAGCTGGTGTTGTTGGTCAACAGCCTGCTGAACATGATCCAGAGTGTGTCCACATGACCAAGAAGGAAAATGGTATCCTAGCCGGTATCAAAAAAGTGTGGCCAGCAGGACTGGGGAAGTTCCTGTCCCTCTGAACTTGGCATTGGTGAGGCCACACCTTAAATCTTGTCTTCAGTTCCAGGCCCCTCACTACCAGAAGGACATTGAGGTTCTAGAGTGTGTTCAGAGAAAAGCAACAATGCTGGTGAAGGGTCTAGAGAGCAAGTTCTATGAGGAGTGGCTGAGGAATCTGGGGTTGTTTAGCATCTCAGGGAAGACCTTATCACCCTCTCCTATAGATAACCTGAGAGAAGGCTGTAGCGAGCTGAGGATCAATCTTGTCTCCCAAGTAATAAGCAACAGGACAGGAGGTAACGGCTTCAAGTTGTACCAGGGCTTTGGATATTAGGAAGAATTTCTTCACTGAAAGGGTTGTCACAGGCTTCCCAAGGAAGTGATTGAGACATCATCCCTGTAGGTATTTAAAAGACATGTACACATGGACTTTAGCAATGTAGTTTATTGGTGGACTTGATGCTGCTGGGTTAATGGTCGAACTTCATGATCTTGAAAGTCTTTCTGACCTAAATGATTCTATGATTCTATAAGCTTGACGATTTGTTAGTACAATAGCTATGAATGTTATTAGCCTAGAGTAGTAATAGGAAAATGTTAAAATCTTCTAGCCTAATGTAATATGTCATAAAAAGTAGCTAGAAAGAACAGGAGAAATATATTGACTTCTGTGTAAAGATTAAAAGAACTAGTTTTAACAGGTAGATCATGACAAAGTAGGTCATGAAATTCTACAAATATTTGAAGGCTGCTATGATGTATAGGGACTGATTGTTTTGTGCAATAGTGGAATAACAAATAAAAATTAAAAGACCATTTGTTGTTAATATGTGGGAACACTTGGCAGTAGGGAGATATTGAGGTCTTATGGAGACTTATAAAGATAGATTTTGCATGGAGTTAGAAAATATCCAGTAAGCAAAAATCCAAATGACCAGTCTATGAATCTTCTCTGTCTCTCTTTTGTAATCCCCTGCATTTCTATTTCATTAATTGGGTAAGATCTGAAATACCCTTCCAAAGTCAATTGTTGAGATCACTATATGCCAATACTTGAAAATACCTGGGTAGACCTTAGAATAATCTGGTATTCTGGCTGATCATAATGCATCTGTGTTGATTGAATCCTCATCATCCTTTCCTGCTTTTCTCTTTGTATCCCAAAAGAATTCTGTAAACTGTCAGGCAGATATGCATATTACTAGAAATTTGAAAGACAACCAAGAGCTGAAGCAGTACAAATTCCAAAGGAACACTCACGTGAATCAGTAATTGTTTAATTCTCATCTGGATATTAAAACAATATATTAAGAAAGACCAAAACACATGTGTGACACAGACAAATATGGGTCTTCGGCATATCTGGAGTGAAAAGCACCACTAAATAATTGCCTGTGATGTAGTAATCTCTTATTTATTTTATTCTGATTGTTTATTGACATATCTCTTCTCTCCTAGTCACAATGACAAAAGAGTCCATTGCAGCAAAAAGGAGAACCTTTGAGAAAAAGTATTTTCTCAAATGCAAATTAAAACTGAGGGAAGAAATGGAAAATTAAAAGGGCCTTAGTAGATATTCTCCAATATCAGAAAACTATTATATACAACAACTAGAACTTTTGTCTTAATTGGAGAAAACATAGATTTTTGTCATTGTGGTAATTTCTAATTCAGTTGTCAGCTTCTTCTATATAAAAAAAAACCCAAACTGCTAATGATCTTCAAGAATGATATAACAATGTATTCTAACAAATCACTTCTTTAATCTATAGTTTCTAAATCTCTGATTTCTTCTATTTAAATCTAGTCTATGCTATTTTATTGATTTTAATTTTTGTGTTCACTGGAGTTCTGGGTTTTTATGGGTTTTTTGTTGCTTTTGTTTTTTTTTTGTTTAAAAACCATAACATTTTAACATATATTTTATTTATATTTCTCCATAAAATAAAGATGCATAGCTTATGTTGTATTCTTTTTAAGTCCTCCTAATCTTTTGGTTCGGTTGTTTATTTGTTTGCATTATATTCTTTTACTATGGGTTCATCTATGAGAGCAGAGAATACTATTGGTTTTCCTTAAGATGCAGTTTCAAAAGTTATCCTTACCCATCCTGCAGATGCTCACTATATTTTTGGGAACTTGCAACAATTTTTTCTTCTGTTGGCTAATCTTAAATGTAATAAAGTTGCAATGCATTTAAATTATGATGCTAAGAGTCATCCAAAAGGTTAAGAAATCCCCAGACTTTGAAATTATGAAAACTTGTCTGGATAACATCTGACTGACCTGATATATCATTGAAGTCAGCATTCTTTGAGCACAAAGTTGTACTAGGTGGACTTCAGACATGCCTTCCAATATTTGATATGATATATTTTGTATTTTGTGAAAACAGCTGTCAGGGGGCTACAGAGAGTTGTTCTCACATCAAAACTCAACCAAGTGTTTTGGGGGCCCAGACAATGTCAAAGCTCAGAAATCAGGCCAGGGTGCTGGGTTCTGAAGGCAGAGAGCAACCAGACAGGTCTGGTGTGTGTAGAAAGTTGTGGCTTATCAACAATTCTGAGGTGTCTTTAAATAGCTGGTGATGAACATCTGAGTCATTACATATATACAAGGTTGAGGACTGACCCTCCAACTTCTCCAGAGCAATAGAAAAGGTTAGTTATGATTCTTGTGTGAGACCTCAGCCAGAAGCTTCAGCACATATTTAAACTGCGGCCAGTATTTATCAGGTCTGTATACACATTTGTTAATTTGTAAATAACAGAAGTTGTTAGAAAACTGAATCCATTGTGGAAAGCCTGCTAAGATGAAATTGGAAATGATCCATGCACCATTTGGAAGGGTCTTTGTGTGTAGTTTCAATTCTAGGATAAAACTGTTATCACCATTGTTTCCAATTATGTGTCAAGTATTTATGAGGGTCCAAGTTTATTTATTGTTCTTATTTGAGTTTAAAGGAAGCAGATTTGGTTTGGTTTCGTTTGGTGATTTTTTTTTAAAAAATTAAATATTCTAGAAAAATGAGAGTATTCTATCTCAGAGATTTAAATTTCTAGTGATTTAGACTTCCACATTCAGATTTCTTGATATTTTTTTTTTAAGAATTAAAAATTAGATCCAAAAAAAAGGAGGCCATAGCACATCTCAATTTGCCAGTTTGTTTTGTTAATAATGCCTATGAAAATACTTTTATTAATAAAAAATCCAACATTAATTGTTTCTACCACATTCAAAAAACTCTAAGACTTCTCTCAGACTGTGGTACAATGAATGCAGAATCATGCAGAAAGACATTAGCACAAAAATTCAGGATGGTATTAGATTAACAAACCTTATTCTTTACTTGTAGGCATGGATGTTTAGCCAAATACAAACTCATACCCATTTAGCTAGGTTAGCTATGTTGTGTCTTGCTCTGTGTCAATTCTGCTATAATTAATTTTTATTCCTTGTGATTGATGGCGTGTTGTGGAAATCTCTCTCTCTCTCTCTCTCTCTCTCTCTCTCTCTCTTTATATATATATATGTATATATATGAATATATATATGTATATATATATGTATATGTGTATATATATATATGCATATGTATATATATATATATATATATATATATATATATGCATATGTTTTGTAGGTTAATATACCTGCAATGCTGAAGGTCTGTCTGACATGTAATAGTGACTAAATGCTGTTTATACTACATTAATCAATTACCAGAAAAAGAAAAAAAGAATAAGCTTCTCACTGCTTCTGATCAGGAATTCACACTGGACCTGATAAATAATGCTAACTAAAGGTCTTCCAGAGAAGTTACACCTTGACAAAGCTTCTTCCCTTCACCCCAAACCCTCTACCCACCTTATAACAATAGAATTTTCTGAAGGAAAAATTCAGCTGTTGCAGTACCTGTCATAGGAGTAGAAAGCAAATTAGAAAGCTTCTAGTAAAAGCTTATCTGAAGATTGTTTCCTTGTGCATGCTTGATTTGAAGAATTCATTCCTTCATGTTGTTGTGGAAACCAGGCAAAAAGAATTCGGGGAAGGGAGCAGGACAGTAGTAATGAAAAGATTTTCTACCTGTCATGCAGAAAGAGATACTGAACTGTACAAAGATGAAGAACTTAGTAAACATTTCTCACTATTGATGTTTTTATTACTCATTCAAACTTGCTTACAAAATTCTACAAACTTTCCATTTGTCCATTTGCTTTTTCGGTGTTCTCAATACCTATGCAAAGCTTACAAGTCTTTAAAATATACACATATTTTATTCTATATATTATGAAGAAAAAAAAGCATTGAATACTTTTTATGTAGTCATTTGTGAAAACACACAGTCATCCCTGAATGTTCCTTTCAATCAAAACAGAAGGCAAGCAAAATATTTTTATATCCTGATTCTTTCTCGTTTCATGCGTTTCAACAATTCACAAATTTGTCTCACTAGTTTGTGCCTTCATTTCCAAATATAATCTTAATACAGTTTTTAAATGAAGGCAAACTACACTTAACAGCTCTGAAGCAATACATGCTGTGTAAACACAACTTGTGCACAGTTTTCATTAAAAATTCAAGGCTGAGTTGGCCATCATTAAATTATGTGGGGAAAATATCAGTAAAGTTAACAGGAGTTAGATCAGGTTGCCTGCAATTCACTGGCAGTTTAGTAGAAGATATTTCATGAACTTCAAGTCTTTGAGGTTCTAAGAACTGTATTATCTTTCCCTTTTAGTTACAATATTTTTTATTTACCATATTCTTAGATCTGATGCAAATAATGGAGTTAAAATATTTGGAACTACTCAATCAGCTCTGTTATATAACCGATGGATCTTGCCTTGGTTGTCTTGCTTCTTGCTTTAAGATTTATGTAATTTTATTTTCATATAATTAATTCATTTCAGCTATGAATCTATCTTTGGCTAAATTTCTCATATGCGGTTCTGAACACAGACTTCAGTGACAATTCTGTAACCTTTTTAATATTTGAGCCTATTAATTCATAACCTTAGTTTTTCTTGTTTAAGTCTTCTCCTTCACTGTATAATGAATTCACGTATAAACTCTACATAGAGACAAAGAACATTTATTTGCTGAGGCTAGTGTTATTAAATATATTAACATATTTTATTGTGGGAAGCAGTCAGTTCATACTTACATAGACAGAGTTCCATGATGTCATATGAAGATCTTTTAATGACAATTCCAAACAGGACCCTTCATAGAAGTGTATGCTGACATTTGGCCTGTATCCCAGGAAACCAAAAGTCAGAGTACTGATAGGGGAAATATAGAACTGGATACATCAAATGCTTTTATGTCTGTGTTCCTACTGTGAACAGTTGTTTGCTTTATCTTAATACAAAGACAGTATTCATTGAAAGGAGATTGGCCATTTGCTTTGTCAGCATGTACTGAAACAGAAAAAAATCTATTTTTTTTTCCTTAGGCTAAAGCTACTTAACAGTTATCATTACCAGATATAAAGTACTCTAATTTTCTAACTAATACCAATATTTGAGGAAACAGCAACACTGAAACATGCGTCAATAAGAGTTTCTTGCCAGAGTTACCCAAGAACCACTGCAATGCCTAACTTAAATGGGCTGTCTTAAATGGGGCAAAAATCATGCCTTACACTACAACCTAACTTTGAAAGTTAAAATATTTCTCCACTTAGTCAATATGATTTTGGTAGACAGAATATCTTGTCTGGGCTTGTTTTTTTTTTTTTTCTATTTTGTGGTGACAATGAATTTTCCAGTGACGATGAATTGTCTATTCTATAACCAATTTCACTAAATGCATATGCATGTGTGTATATATATATATATGTATGCACACACATGTACATGCCAGAGTACTGATTTATTATGCATTTTTGTTTCTTGGGTATTACATCAAGTTTGCAAATAGAAAATACAGTAAAGATGCATGTTTCTTTTAAAGGCTGGGATAATCACATGGGAGGAGATTCTGCCACCTCTTTCCAGATCTGCATAGATATTTTATAATACCTAGTCATGGGAGATGGATCAGATGGGAGGACTGATTTAAGTTTCTTTTCTGAATATTACAAAGTTCAATGATTAAATTAGACACTAAGTTTTTTCTAGGTTTGGTGGTGAAAGGACCTTCATTAAAATTTAATCCAAAGATAATTGCGTGTTCTGAGTTTGTGTAGAAATGTATCAGGGGAAAGCTACAGGAGTGGCTTTTGTGAAAAGCTGCTAGAAACTTCCCCTACATCTGATAGAGCCAATGACAGCTAGCTTCAAGATTAGTTTGCCACTGGCCAAGACTGAGTCCATCAGAGACAGTGGTGGTGTCTCTAGGACAATACAATTAGGAAGAGGGGAAAAAACCCAAAATAAGTAGGCAACTGCAGTTATAAAGAGGAGCACAAAGTTGAATGTATTAATATATGTTCAGGTGAGAATACCCACATACTTCCCCTGAGGATAAGAATTTTACACTGTTATGCAACACCGTGCATCTTGCACAGTCCTTCAGTGGAAGGCCCCAGAAATTTATCTGATTTATGACACCTTGTAGGATATGACCACCATCCCCACAGCCTAGCTGAATCAGAAGGCATTAACATCTTCACACTAACATGTGAATGTCCTGATACATTCCCCGGGGGAAGGGGGAGTTTTATACCTGAGCCAATACTAAGGGATAGTAAAAAGCATTATGCCACCTCTGCAGGATCTGCTTCTTCTCAACCTTGTCATCCATCTGACTCAAAACCCAGCTTGCTGCTAAACAAAGTTTAGTTTGTTGTGGTCATCTTCTGGTGGTGAGTGTGCAGCTTTTCTGCATTAGGGCCACTCTTATGCAGATAGAGGTTTTGCTATCATACACCTAAGAACTCTCCTCCCCTCCTTTGGCTGGAGGGTACAAATCTGGCCTAAGCAAAGCCCCTGCTGCTTTTTCAACTGGCCAATTAATTGAGACATTAATCTTTCATATTTCAGTCTCTAACACATGGTGAGGCAGCTGTGCCCCTGCAGCTCATGGAGGTCCACGCTGGAGTAGAGATGCACCTGCAGCCCACAGATGACCACACATCAGAGCAGATGGGTGTCTGGAGGAGGCTGTGACTGTGGGAAGGCTGCACTTTAGCAGGCTCTTGGCAGGACCTGTGGGCCCGTGGAGAGCAGACCTCGCACTGAAGCAGGTTTGTTGGAAGGACACACAACCACACAGGGGACCCATGCTGGAGCAATCTGTTCCTGAAGGACAGAGCCCTGTGGAAAGGTCCCATGCTGGAGCAGTTTGTGAAGAACTGCAGCCCATGGGAAGAACCCAAATTGTAGAAGCTCATGGAAGATTATCTCCTGTGAAAGAGAGATACTACAGGGGATCAGGGGAAGAGTGGGAGAAGTCCTCCCTCTAAAGAGGGGCAAAGACACCATATGAGGAACTGATGCCAAGCCCAGTACCCCTGCATTGCTGGGTAGCTAGGAGTTTGAGAAAAAATTTGAGTGGATTTAGGGCCAAGAACAAGGCAGGAGTGGGGGGGAAGGTGTTTTGACACTGACTAAATGCCAGGCACACACAAAAGCAAAACTGGTGGTGATTGTGTGCACAATGGCAGGCAGCGAGCTGTTCATGAGCCAGCAGTGCCCTTGTGGCCAAGAAGGCAAATGTTATCCTGGGGTGCATTAGGAAGAGCATTGCCAGCAGGTCAAGGGACGTCATCCTGCCCCTCTACTCAGCCCTGGTGAGGCTACAGCTTGAGTGCAGTGTCCAGTTCTGGGCTCCTCAGTGCAAGTGAGACATGGAGCTCCTGGAGCTGGAGGGCAACAAAGATAATTAAGGGATTGTAGCACCTCTCTTACAAGGATAGGCTGAGAGAGCTGGGCCTGATCAGCCTTGAGAAGAGAAATCTGAGAGGGAACCTCATCAATGTGTATGAATATCTAATGGGAGGATGTCAGAAGGATGGGCCAAGCCCTTCTTGGTGGTGTCAAGCAATAGGACAAGAGACAATGGGCAGAAACAAATGCACAGGAAGTTCCACCTGAACATGAGGAAGAACTTCTTTGCTGTGTGGGTGACCGAGCAGTGTAACAGGTTGCCCAGGGAGGCTGTGGAGTTTCCCTCACTGGAGATACTCTGCCCTTGGGACAGAATCGTGTACCATGTACTCTAGGATGACCCTGCCTGAGAAGTAAGGTTGAACCAGATGACTCACAGTGGTCCCTTCTGACTTTACTAATTCTGTAATTCTGAAACCTGGACACCTAGTTCTACATCAAACAATCAGAATAAATTTTTATTCCTTCAGACTGTCAGCAAAAATGCCTACATTCACTCCTCACTGCAAAGGTTTTCATGGCTCAGCAGGTTAGGTTTTGTTTTCTTTTTAGCTAGAAACATTGTGTAATGCCTTGATTTGATATAAGACTATCTCTTAAACTAGAAATAAATATCCATGTGACTGAACTGTAATAAATCCAGAAAAAAAAAAAAAGAAAAAAAAAAGGAAAAGTATGCTTCTCCTTGTTTTTCTACCAAACAGATAGGTTTAAGGCAGATCTCAGGGGTGTTATTGAAGAAGTTAATCAAATAGATATAAACAATTGGATTTTAAACAGCTAAGACAAGTAGTGTTTCTTTAGTATTTTCATATATTTCTGCTCTTAAAGATCTCCTACTGCAAGGCAAGACAAACCTTAATATATATGCAAGTGTGTTTAAGTGTGTGTGGGTGTATGAATATGCACAGTATCAGTTTCTTTCATAGTAAGAACCAACTGCAAATGCCTTACAGCTTTTTGTACTAGATTTTGTCTTTCCATTTTTATTTAATTTTTTAGAAATATGGTTTACTTCTCTTGCCTTTTCCTCCAGGCTATTGTTTATCCCAATGGAAAAATTTCTTATAACCAGGATTTGTATCTTAAGCATAAATACTGACAACTTGCCTATAGCTATATTGCCTATAGAAGCAATTACAGAATGACTGGATTGCACATGAGCAGACCAGAATCAACTTTTTATTGCAAATGTCTTTTAAATAGAAATACATTACCATTAGAAAATGTTGGTTTTGGCTGCAAAGTTAAAGGCAGAACATCAACAAATCTAAAATGCTTTCATCCCTGAGGGAAGAAAATATTCCATTTTATGAAATAAGAGTGTGGAAATATAAAAAAGCAGCTCATAAAAATCACTGACTAACCAGGTCTCTTTTCCCATATCTAACATCCTCCCCCACTCTCCCCTCTGAACAGACACAATGCTTTCCATATAATTTTTCTACTTTGAGCAAGCATTTTATTAACCCATTGTATTTTATTCCTCTAAAACTGTTTGGTACTGTACTAGTTCTCTTCAAAATTGTTTAGAACAAAATCTTACTTCTATAGTACCTTTTTACACTGCCTTTGTGCTAAAGCTTTCCCTCATGCCTTTGTAAGATAAAAATCAATGACTAACTTTCATCATATTACAAGAATTGCAGTGATTAATATTATAGATTAAATGTTCCAAAGGACAAGTCTTTTCTAGAAGGTACTGCAAAGTCAGATGTCTCATCATTCCAAGAATGCCCACCCCCACCCTAGTGACTTGGGAGGTGCTATTTAGGCTGGTGAAAAGTTATAACTAAAGAAATAAAATTTTAACAATGACTAAATTTTATCACAAATATATATCTAGTTATATTTTGGTTTAAGATAGATAAATTGCCCTTATATTTATAGATGAATGTGGTATTTTGTATCTCTATTTTATTTTAAATTAACTTTCTATGACTCTGCCAAAATAGACAACCTTGCTTACACACAGCCTGAATAATTTAATTCATTGCTGCATAGAAATTGCTAATATATGCATAAAATTGCTGTAGGAGGAGGATCTTTGGACTAGATTGAACTGGCAAACAGATGCTTTTCTATTTAAGCAATTTCTACTTTCTCTGTTAGGTAGCTTGAGTTCTAACACAAACACCTGTATATGTTCAAGTATGTGCATTTGTTTCTGATCAGGTGAACAAGTAAGGAGAAAAAAAGAATTTATAAATTACTTTGGGGAGGAAACTGTAACAGAAAAATATTAGGTTCAACAATCTGTATGATCTATACTTGAGTGTCAAGAAAATTAATTTATTACTAATAAATCCAGCAAATGCTTGATAGTTGAGATTTTATTTTTCAACATTACTTTAGATAAATTCCCTAAATCAAGTAAATCAAGTATAAAGCTATCATTAAAATATTTCTGATAATAACACCCCATGTAGATTAGGTTTGATCTTGTCAGTCAACTCTGAACAGAAGTCACATGCCTGCATTATAAAGAACCTTCCCATGACTCTAAGAATTCAGCTTTCCAAAACAAAATGAGAAATAGAATCCTTTTAAAGAAAGATGAAGTCCTAAAGGACGTTCTGCTTTTTCAATTATTTGTAAATTCTTAAAACATTTATACCCTTCAGTTCAGATCTGTGTCCCTAATTTATAATTAATATGTACAACAGATCTAAAAAAAACCCCAGAGTAAATAAAACACCCTGAATTTTTTTATATATATTACACTGAGTTAATTTTCAATGATGAATTTTAAAGAAGTCAGCGTTTTTAAATTTCCCTCTGTTAATGCCTCTATTGACTCTATACTTAATATTTAAATGTAGAGAGCTTCATCTGTGGTTAGTTTCGATACTATTCAGAACTCCCTGAAAAGATTGTTTAAAATATATTAAAAATTTTCATTACTTCCCATTGAATTTAATGTTTTGTTTTATTACAGAAAGTATAAGATCAATACAGAGATCACATTGTCACTTTAAACAGATCTGGATTTGCTGAAGTTTGTTGATGATACCAACTAAAATTTAAAGAAAAATGAACTTCCCAATCTAAATAATAAGGACTTCAAATTTTTAAAAACGCTACATATGCACGAATCTGCTGCTTCCAATAGAAATTAAAATCCTATCATTTTCATAGTTAGTTGACATTCTTAAACAGCATTCAACACAGCAGAATGTCATCTTTCTTCTGGCTTCTTGATATCCTTTCAAATAATAAAAATACAAGTGATTGGTGTCAATACCAGCATCACAACATTTCAGCATTTGGCATCAGAGAAAAAATTATTTTCCTGTGTTAAATATATTATTAGTACAATTCCTGCTAGAGTAGCCCTGCCTGGGTATGAGTATGGGACAGTAAGAAAAGTACCACTGACATATCAAAACAAATTGTCCATTAATAAATATGACACTTAGAGGTATATTTTAATTACTTTTATTTGACTAATTAGAATTAATGGTAAAGTAATACATAACTGTGTTTTGCTCAGAAATTTTGAGATGCTCAAAATACAGACCTGGTTCCCAGAATACATTTTACTGACACCCCAAAACACTGCTGTCTTAATAATTTAGTTTTCTACTTGCTACAGCATTTCTTAAGACATGGAGTTTGCAGAAATTATGTTTGACTGCTGTCTACAGTGTACTGGGAAGTAGGACTCAAATGATAGTAAGGGCTTGTATCTCTCTGGACACTAGAGAAAAATAATCTTTGGTCTGAGCTATCTTCAATTTAGCAAATTAATCTTTTCCTGACTTATTGAGATATGATTTAAAGGGCACATAATATCTACACTGTGTTTGATGGGAAAGTTGAAATACAAACAAGACTGTGGAATGTCTAATGTTGTAAAAACTGAAGTCATTCAAGCATGTCAGGATACAAAGTTTTGGAAAAAGGAAATTACATTTATTTATCTCAGGAGCTTTCAGGAATAGGTGGCAACTTAGTCAAGGCTGTGAGGAGCTACAGTTTGAATTTAGTTATCAAAGTTGAGACATTCTTTTTTGGTTAAATCTCTGGTTGCAATGGTTTAATAACTGACAAATATTTAAATAAAATATCAGAAACACTTTTTTTAATATCTGAGTTGTAGTCTTTCATAGATCTGCTGTCAAATGTAGCTTACAACATTCTTTTAAAGTCCATCAGAAGATGTAGTCGTGCCTAAATTGAGAAGTATTTCCCTATGTTTTGTCTTCTAAAAAAAAGATTAGATCAAACTTCCCACAATTAAAAGAATATCACCTATTTTCCAGAAAAACATAAGGGTATCCCAAGCTTAAGCTATTTTTCTTTTAAGCTACAAGACTTTATAAATGACCATTTGGTTATTCTTAAGTCACTAACAAAAAAAAAAAATCATTATCAAATTATCTTAGTTGCCATTGTACCTTGAGGAAAGGCAGGATTTGATTTCAGATCTCAGAGATGCTACTAAAAAGAAAATACCAATAATCTGTCCTGAGCCTTAACTGTTAATTTTGAGAGTTATTTTTTCCACGGTCTCAATAATAAGTGAGACTGGCCTAGAGGCACCTTAAACTGATCATAATTTAACATGAACTTTGGATTTTGCCACATTATCATCTATGATTGATTTACTAAAATTCGCTGCAGACAGGATAGGAAGGAAAAAGGAGAGGAGATTTAATGCTATTGCATAAAAAGCAGACTGCATTATTCTTTGACATTGTATTCCAAAGTCTTATTCAGTGCTCAGAGTGTGATACTTGTAAAAAACAGTGAGTTCCACAACTTTGGTATAAACTAGTAACATTCATAAATTTATGTATTATTATCTATGTTTTAACAGATTTATGGTTTATCCAAAGTAGTACAAAATATCAATTTTCAAAGAGACTTGGTGCATACATAAAAGACCTTTTCCTTAGTCATACACTGCATGGGCAAATTAAAAAAAAAAAGGCTTGCATTTATAGCTTGTTGTTACTAAATCATTTAAGTATCTTTCTATGTGAGTAAATTTTATTTCATTACATGTGTCAGATAAATGTCGACTAAGTTTCTTCTAAGTAAAAGTCTTGTGAATCTTGGATAATAATAATAGCAATAATACGTTTAAATGGCTTTTAAACCACAGTTTTTGATAACAGCATTTAAGTAAATAAGCATATATTTGGTAACAAAAAGAATCATTCTAAAGGGAGATTTTCATCCAGAAAACCCAATCAGATAAATGATTTTTCATGTTTACAAACTAAAAGAATAATTAGAATTTGCTATGAAATAACCTATCAGTACTTGTATGAAATTGCAAAGTTACTGTATTTGAAAATTGTTTTTGATCTATTTTCTGGGAAAAAAAAAACATTAGAGGAAAAGAAATTCTACTGAATAAAAAATTAAAGCTCCAGTTAATCCCTAGTTCAGGTTTACTGCCTCTGGAGGGTGTGCAGTGTTACTGACTGCATAAGAGCAGCAACTCTTGCCTCAGTAATAAAATAGACTGCAAACATTTTCCAATTCAGTTTTAATGTAAATCAGTCTTGCTTGTCTTGTGGCCTAAAATGCTCATAAAATAAACATTTTTTTTTTCTCCCCATGTTGAATTTTGCTGATGCTGCTTAAATTTTTCTATGGAAAAGGTGACCAAAATATTGTGACAGATCAGAAGATACTTATTCTCATTCTAAAAACCAGGAAAACAGAAAGTAAGTTTGATTTTTGAAAGGGCTGCATGATTCTTGATCAATATTCCAGTGATTTTCAATGGATTTGGATCTGGAGTTTTTAAAGGATGTGAGTATTGTGCAGAGATGTTGGCTTGCATTGACCTAAATTGAACCAGCTTTGGGACTGTAAGGAATATAGCTCTGCTAAGCTTACTCTAACTCATGAATGAAGCTGAGAAAAAGGCTTATTGTGGGTGAAGCATGATGATGACACACCCTGTGGCACACGTGTCTGAGAGGGCAGAGTGACTGCAAACAGTTAACATGGTTCCTGCAGCATTACTGGGTAAGTTTAGTTTACTTTGTGCAAGCTCCATAAACATTTTAGAGCCACCCAGTGAGAACTTGACACCTTTGTGAATACTCAGATCCTTTCAGTATGTGGTCACATTAAATTTATAAAAGGCACTCTTAAGTAGACAGCAAAGGCAAGGAAGAATGTTGTCTATCAAGAAATCCACCTCCTGGATGGAGATTTTGGACTGCCCACTGATTTACCTTCAGACTTAGCAGGCTGTGGCAGGGTGAGTAGGTCACTTGGTAAGGGGTAGTGGTAGCCTGTTTATTATTCATGAATTTCCCAGTTATCAATAATTTCATGGATCCTCATGTAAAATGTTCCTTTGGCCCTGGCAAGTATCGCCTTAGAAGACCAAAAATGGCAACAGCGGCTCCCTTGTTGTCATGAGAATATACCAAATCTAGGGTAAGAACTTCACCAGAAGAACTCTAACCTCATACATATTCCAAATACTCTACACATTGCTTATCAGATTATCAATATTTATGAATTTCCTGTGTTTTATTTTCTCAAAATATACTGACAAACTTGAATATATTTGAGTAAGATACAACAAAAATGGTTCAGTGTAGATTTACATGTGTGATATATGAGATCATACAGAATGTACAGCTTTAGTGAATATTTCTAAATATATATAATTCTGAGCAACACTTCTTTCTCCCCTTCATAATATTACTGGATATTTTACAAAGAAAATTTTGTGTTTGTTCTTCAGTTTCTACAGAATAAAATAGAATTTTAAAAACAAGATAGAACTTCCTTAATTAAATCTCCCTGTATTCTTAATTTACAATAAATTAAATAACGTTCCACAAGTTCAGTCTGTTTGGTCTGTGATAGTAATTGGTAAGTCCTGACCTCATAGTCAGACTCAGGGGCCTGGTTGCTATCTATGGGTCAGGACCTGAGCTGTGGCTGATCACCATCTTCAGAGTACTCCATTGCTAAAAAACCACAACTGCAGTTTTTCTTTCTACAGAGTATTTAGGATGTTAGGAAAAAATTCTTCACTGAAAGAGTTTTCAAACATTGGAAGAGATTTCTCAGGGAAGTGGTTGAGTCATCCTGCCTGGATGTACCTGAAAGGTGAGCAGCCGTGACATTTAATGACATGGTTTATTGGTGGACTTGGCAGTGCAGGGATAATGATTGGACTCGATGACCTTATAGTCTTCTTCCAACCTAAATGATTCTATGAATCCATGATTTAAAAGTTTTTAAAAAACTAGTCTATCCTAAGTTCTAAAGCAAGGCAAGGAAAGAGAATGTATATATTTTTTAGGTATTTTAAAAGAAATAATTTTGTACGTTTTTTCTCTGAGACGATCATCTCATATTGTAGATGAAAAAATAGCATAAAATATTAGTTCTAAAAGATAAACACATTAATGACATTAGAAGACTTTGTAAACAACACTCTGAACTTCAGTGCTATTGCTCTTTAATGTGCTACATACTTTTTGAGAAATTATGTTATATTAATTACTTTTCTATGTTGCTTGTACAAAAAGCTGCCAGCTGTTTTATAAAACTTGTAAGAGTATAGCTTACTCTTGTGATTTTTGTATTTGAATACCATCATACTGCAATTGTACATGAGTAATTATACGCATCACTAATCCCCATCTTGCTCTCAATAAGTCTGTTCATATGAATAATGTTTACATATTTTGCTTCTAAATAGGAAATCAGACAATAAAAATAAAAGCTGTAAAAAAATATTTTAATAATTAAAAAACCAAAAGGCACTATAAAGAGCAAAAAACCTACAATGAAAATCCACAATGAAAACCCTGCTCCAGGATTTGAGCTCAAATTTTTAAATAGTTGTTTTTCCTTTCTTGAATATTTTACCTTTCATCTTTCCTGCATCTATTTATCAGCTACCTTTTATGAAGCCTTGACCCTGAAAATACTTTGAAATATGAATAAAGATTCTGAGAAATAGATTACCAACAAGTATAAACCAGGATTTTTATATGAAGAGTTGTCAATGTTGCAGTTAGTGGTTTTATTTACAGTAAAGCTTTTATAAAGACTTACTTGCCATAAATTTAAAAGTCACCTGATAAAATAAATATTCATAAAATTCTTTAAGAATTAACCCACTTATGATCTACTAACAAGCACTTTATTTCCCTCAAAATTATAATTTTAACAAAATAAAGACATAGGCATTCTTCTGCTGCTCCGGAGTTATATTAGAGCTGTGTGATAGATCATGTCTCTGTTAAAAGATTTAGTAACTGCATTTGGCATAACACAAATTTTAAGATGTTCAGTCTCAAGGATAAATGAAAAGATTGGTTTTCAATACTAAAAATTACAATAAACAATTTCAAAATATGTAACTGAAGAAGATTTGAACGAAAGATAATCCCACTCTTAAAAAAAACCTCCAAAACACCCCCCAACATAAGTGTCACAAATTATGAAGAAAAAAGGTATTTTTTAAACAGAAATTACCAAATTTGTATTTTTAACAACAAAAAACTCAGGAAAATTAATTCTTGAATTTGTTTGTTATTTTATATACAGTCCATGCTGGTGTCCTTTTATCAGCTTGTACTTTGGTCAAAATCAGTTGATGTAATAAAACTGAAATTATAATCAGCTGATACTCAGTACTATATTTTTGTAATCCGTTACTATAATGGTAATATTTTGAACTGTAGTGAAGTGATTAAAAAAAAAAAAAAAGATTAAAAAACAAAACAAAGACATTAATGCAATTGCACCACTATATAACTGGACAAAATTTTGTCTTTCAGTAATATATAAAAAGTGCTGTCTTTAAAGGTCTCTGAATTATTATCTCAAAATCTACCAGTGATGTTCAGTCTTGACGTGGCTTTTTCAGACTTATTTAACACAAAGGGAAAGAACACAATTTTTCTTTCCTTTTTACCTTTCAGTCTTTAAGATTTCAGTTTCACAAAACCACTAAAATCCTGTGGCACTTCCTTTGAGTGAAAATAAATTGTCAGTTTTCCCAAAAGCTTTTAAGTGGTTTGATTTTGTCATATTATTTACCTCAAAGTTATATCAAGATACAAAAAGAATTTCTACAGATCAGTATTAATGTGTACACCAGAAACAATTTTAGTTGACAAAAGAAAACCAGAGTATTAAAAGAATTTTCTTACATTTGGTGTTGCCCTATCCATTTAATCTACTTTGGAGGTGGCAAGCCAACTTAATGACTGTTCTGGCAATAACTGAAAAAAAATTCTTTCCATTTTAAATGTTTTAACTTATCAAACCATGTCCCACTCACATCCTTGCAGTATTTATTTACTCTTCTCTGTATTTGTAATCTTTTTTTCAAATAAATGTTGCCCTCGGAGATTTAAAGGAAGACGCTAGATTTTTTGTTTTGTTTTGTTGGGGTTTTTTTTGTTTGGTTTTTTTGGGTTGGTTTTCTTTTTTTTTTTGAGACAGTGGCAGTTCAGTGTTTGGCTTGCATTACAGGACCTCTGATATTTGGCAATGTAAGTTCTTGGTTTGTGTCAGACACTTTATTTAATTGGACAAATCTTAGGACTGTAGAATAGCACAGAATTCACAAATCTTACCCATTTTTATTAATGCCACATCCAGAATGCTTCATATATATATGCAATATCTTGTTTGAAGGACAAAATAAATTATTTAACTAGATTAACTGATATTTTGGGGAAAAACTTCTGAGCCCAGAATTTTGCTCAGGTTTGAAAGCACTGTTTTCCTAAAAAAGCATGTATGCATCTCATTTGAAAACATTGATTTATACATAAAAATCCCTCTGCAACAATATATCTAAATAACATTAAACTTGAAAGTGTTGGAAAATTTCAGAATTAAGGTGGTGGTCACATTTCATTCCAACCATATTTTTTTTCATCTTTTGATAGCCATGTATTAATTAAGAACGAGAGACAAAATAAAAAGTTCTGTGTGTTGCAAACGTGTCCTTTTTGCATGCAATGAATTCTAGTTATAACTACCCCTTTGAAACAGGAGGAAATTAGGCTTCAATTGCTTTGTGTCTTCTTATATCTTTAATTTAAACTTATTCCTTTTTAAATTGCCATATTCTTGAGCAATATTCTTCAGCACTGAGGGGTAGATCTCAGACCTACTTTTGAGAATACAGAGAGCATTAAGCCACAGGAAGATCTGTGATTTATAAAGCATCAGACCTTGTGATTAAATATTTATATTTCCAAAAGAAATAAATATGAACTGCAATTTCAGTCATTAATGACTTATGAATGTTTAACATGACCAAAATCGGATTTACTGATTCAGTTTGACTTCTATTACTTTTAGCAGTTCCATTTTCTTATTTTTCCCATCACACAAGGCTGTTAAGGCTGCTTTGGTCATCTCTTTCACTTCCTTGCTTCAAAGGTCAGTAGAAAAATTAGTGAAAATGCAGGCAAGACAGCTCTGTTCTGGTACCAGTGTCAGGGGAAAATAAAAGTCACTATTCAGATTACACAGCCCTTGACCTCCAGAAGACCGGAATTATGAAACCTGCAGTTACCAATTCCTTAGTCTTATATCTAGACACTTTTTCAAAAGACTAAGTCAACAGATTAACAACAACAACAAAATCATACTCTAGCAATTTCTCGGTAGAGAAGTCTGATTTAGTGTGCATTTCAGTGTCAATTACTTTTACTATGACAAAGTTAGGAGTAGGAATAAGCAACCCCTTTCAATGGAAGCTGTCAGTCTCAGTGTAGGTTAATCTTTGCCTAATTAACAGATAGACAGAGAGTTGGGTTAAAAGATCTGTTAGTGGGAACTTGAATTCATTGTCATGAACTTCCAAAGACATTTCAGAAAAACCTTTTATTCTATGTTATATAATTTTTAAAAATAATGTGAAACTATTATATCTTTTGTTTAAGACCTCAGAGCTCGATGCAGCACTCCAGGTCATGTCTTACAAGATTGGAGTACACGGGCAGAATCACCTTTCTCAGTGAGGAGTGGTTGAGATAATTTGAATACTTCAGCTTGGAAAAGAAAAGGCTTTGGAGTGGCCAAGTTGCAGCCTTCCACTACCTGAAGGGAACTTAAGGAAAGATGGGGTAAGACTATTTTCAGGAGCATATATAGGACAAGTACATTTCCATTTTTTCTTTTATTTACACCTCTCATTCACAGAAATAGAAGTTGAAATTCTTTGTACAAATATGTGTATAAACTTTAACAGTTATTTAACATTCACAATGATGAGTTTAGTGTTTAGCATTCAGAGACTTCTGCAGCTAAATAATGGCAGTCACTATTTTTTGCCTTTCAGAAGTACAAAGTCTAAGAATATCATCAGGGTGTGAAAATGTCTCAAATAAATTTAAAAAAAATGATAGAAAGAACAAATGCCTACTGTTTTCTAATAGAGTCATAGGAGGGACTTCTGCATTCTGCCAGATTCTGGCATTATCAGATTCTACATGTGGCCCTTCAGTGTTAAAAGGAACATAATGATAACTTTAACTACCTGTCTGTTTGTCACTATTCATCAGCAATGTAAGAGGAAATAAGTTTTTCTGTTATGTCTCTATATCATTGCTAAAATAAAAATATAAAATTATTTTGCCAAGGAATATTCTATTTGCAAAAAGGGAAAAATGTTTTCAATATTCTGGAAATGTTCAGTATTGAAGCCAACTGCATTCCTTTAGTGACATCAATACTTTATCTTTCCTAATGGCCAGGTGAAATTTCCTGAGACTCTTATGCAAAGGATCTTGAAACTGGTAAAGCCGAGCTGCTCCAGCTTCTTTCTTTGATGCTGATTGTATAGACTATTTACTAATTCTCTTCTTATTGTTCATTTGCAGTCTAATCCAAATAAATTGGATTACTTGGCTCTTTCTTTGCAGAAGGTAGTTGCTGCACATGCGCATGCACATGCATCAACACACTGACATTTCCCTGCATTTTCTGTACTACAGGAATCACCTCCTAAATTAAATTTCCTCATCATAATTTTGCTCTGAGACAAAGTTTGTAGGAAGGGATAGTAGCTGACAACCTGGTAGAACTGAAAAAAGTTTTCAGAAACAGCCTTTGTTTAGATCTTAGAACAGAAACATCACATAATGTAGCAACATGTCAAGAACAACTTTTCTGGGTTTAGCTTGAATCTGCTTCTCAATTTGATGATTTGAGTAAAAAAGCTAGGTAGCAGCTGCAAATCAGGGATCATTTTAAAATGGGAAAAATGACAATTAGTGTCTGTATGATAGGCGATCATCTGTCCTGAGGAAGAAATGAGAAAAGTGCAAAGTCCAAAATTATGAAACAAGCATTTCTATTTACTTGATTTCTTTCTTCTTACTTAAAATTCAAGTCAGCTATGAATTTCAACTATCAGGATCTTAAGAAGGTGTTGCATTGAACTTCAGTCAAGATCAGTATTGAGAAGTCAAACCTCAGATTTTTAGTGAAAGGTATTTTCCCATTAGTAACTAGGCATTGATACCCTTTATTACTTCTCATAATCTCAGTTCATCTGGATATCTAATAGTTATATATTTCAATCTTCAACAAAACTATTCAATATAATACATTCCATTTTCTTTCTTCACATATATTGATTCAGAAAAGGAATTTAGTAAGATCAGGGATTGTTTGAGTGTTAGGAGAGAGCCTTGTTCCAAAACAGAGTCTTCTTTCATGAATATTATCTCTGATTTCATTGTGAGGAAACAAATTTCATCATGCAGCAAAAAAACAGCTTAAGTCTAGAAAAAACATAGTTTTCTTTTGCACTTCTGTCTTGCCTTAGTGCTCTCTCTTGTCCCCCCTTTTGTCCCAGCTAGCTCCGGGGGGGGGGGGGGGGGGAGCGCTGGCAACTTCCGTGTTTTCCGGCGAACCCTCGCGGGTATCTGCCGGTGCTGCGTGGGTCTGGGAGCGAGGCGAGTCCCGAGGCGAATAAAAGGAGAGAGACTTTTTCCCCCGTGGGCGATATCTCGGTTTATTACGGCTTGGTTGGGAAGGCAAAAACCGAAAATGCTGCTGCGTGCTAAGTTCGAGTTTGTCCGTGCCGCCTGGCCGATTCGGGGGCGGGGCGGCGCGCTCCGAAGCTGGCCGGGCGCCAAGAAAGGCGGCGTGCAGAGCCACGGCGCCGCTGCCGGCACGTGCGGGAGCCGCGGCGACCGCGGCAGCGGCGACGGCGGCGGTGAGGCTGCGGCAGCGATCGCGGGGCAGTCCGAGACGGCCGCGATCGCCCGAGGCAGCGGCGGCGGTTGCGGCAGTCAGGGGCCGGGCGAGAGAGAGAGCCGCGGCGGCACGCAGGAATCCGGCGGGAGAAAAAGCCTGCGGGTCGGGCAGCAGCAGCGATCAGGGGCCAGGTGGGAGAAAAAGCACCGGGGCGTCCCCAACCCGCTCTATAAGTACTGGATAGGGAAAACCCGGGGCGGCCAATGAGATAACGCCACGGGGGGACTGGGACAGTGGGGTGCAGGGGTCCAATGGGAGATGGACAGATGGAAGGGTGCCAGGTCGTCTCCTGACCCCGCCGCGTGGCTGACAGATGGTCTGAGAGACGTAAACAGAGTGACTAAGGTAAACCGCGGGGGGAAATGGGAGAACCCGGGAGGTCGTTACAGATCGCGAGGGGATACATGGAATGACCTTATACATAATAGAACATATAATAACACAATTCCACACTGCCTAATTATATGAGAAATATAATTTATTTTCAGACCTTACAGTAGAGAGAGACTTTCTATGAACAAAACTCCTTTTTAGACTTTTGAAACAAACTCGAAAAAAAAGTTTCTAATATATAGCTAGAGTGTTAGATACCAAGACCTTTTATTCAAGTATAATATTAAACAAAATAGCACCTTTAATAATGTTTTATTAGTAGGTGAAACCAAGTTCTTGGTCCCTGATAGCAATGTGGTGACTTTGATACTTCCAAATTTGATCCAATAGCAAACTTACATAAGCAGAGTAGTCCTTGCCAATTAGCTATGACACCTTTTGAGAAAAACACTTCAACAATTTTGCAATTGTAATATCCATGTTAAGCCAAATCTCATTACATTAGTTGCTAATCCTATTTGTGTTTTTCAAGTTTTAAAACATTTAATCAAATTAACACAAGTCCTTTTGCCTCTTGAAAAAATATTACTTCAGGTAAAAATTAGGGCAAAAACATTGATTGCCATAAAAGTCCACATCTTCTGACAAATTAGAGGGGTATAGTTTTGGTTTTGGAGAATATGTAAAAATTGAAATCAAAATGTATCAAAAAATAGTAAATCAAGGAATTTCATTAAAATGAGAGGGAGACTCATTTTAATGAAATGGTTTTTAATGATAAAATGCAATTCAAGGAGGTTTTGTTCATGAAAATTTGGGGAGAGGGGGTAATTTTCCAGTTGACAGTAATGCTCATGAAGACAATAATTTAATAAAAAATTTTTAAATCTGCAGTTCAGATTTCTAGAAACCACTTTTCTTATTAAAGATTTGGCTAAATGTCAGTATATATACAATCATTTCTGAAATCTTTTTCCTTGCAATTGTCACAAACATTCAAACATGATCGGAAAAAAATCCATTTAATTTTATTTAATAACTACAATAAACAGTTTCAATTTAAGTGTTCTCTTTATTGAATTTATTTAATGATATAGAGAAGAGCGTTTTCATTTAGATATAGTGATATTAATAGGGTTTACCTTAGTTAATTTTGCTCTTTCCATTTCCTGATTGTATTTCAGCAGGATAACATGAAAACCTGTGTTCCTGAAAAGAGTAAATAAAGAACTTACACTGATGTTTTAGTTTAGGTCAAGAATATAATTTTGAAGTGAGTCACTTAATTATTCTCACTCTTCAGACACATTCATTCATATCATTGGGTGGTTTCAGAGTGTTAGCTGTTTCCATTCTGGATGAAAATGAAGCCAAACACAGAAAAGAAACACTTCCAGTATTCTGTAACAGCTAAAATTGCACTAATACAGGGCTCCAGTCCAGCACTAGCAAGAGCAAAGCCTCATATGGTGTGGACACTGCATCTTCAGTATTTCTTGTTTGTGTATGGAGGCCATCACCCACTGAGATGCACGAGCTACTACACACTCTAAATACTCAGGTCCCTACTCAGGTCCCTGAGTATCTGCTCTTTCCCTGACAGGAGCTGTCGGGGAAAGAGCAGAATGTCCACTCAAAGTGTTATTAGCTGAAATGGAAGTAAATTTAAAATCCTTGCCATAATTTCTATTATGACTTAATTTTTCAATGCAAGCAAAATGAACAGAATATTTTGGGGGGCTTTTAAAAGGATGTGGGACTACTCTATTCTGTTACTTGACCTTGCATGTGTTTACAATCATACTTTTCGAAGACATGTTTGCTTATTGTAGCAGAGGCAAGTTTTACTTTTTAACAAGAAATTCAAGCTCCTGTGCCATTTTCATAGTGGAATCATGTGGTTCAACAATACTGGAAAATTACTTACTATTTCTTAGGTGTTACTATTAGTTTCTTTTTTTTTTTTTTTTCATACAGGCTACTAATATGGTTAGTACTCTTCATGGATTCTATTCTGTTTGAAATACAAAACAATAAACAGAGTTCAAGATCCATTTGAACTGTTAAAAAAATCAAAACAATAACCCCTAATAACATGTCACATAGGGCAAAGAGAAGCAAAGAAAAACTATATTTATTCTCTTCATATCTAGGCTTAAACTGTTCAAATTTTTGTAAGTTCCAGACATCTTAATTATTGATATTTCCCAATGTAAAGAAAAGAGAAACAGATTATACTTCAGCAATATACTTTCTCTGTTCTTCTGCTTAAGATTCAGATTCAATTCTTGTTATCAGCCTGAATTTTTTTTTTTTTCCTTCGGAAGAAGCCTATAGTGGTACTGTCTTCTAAGCTTGGCCAGAAATAAGACTTCCAAATAAAGAGATTCTCTTCTTTTATAAATCTCTTAATCTATAAGTATTATTATTCCTGTTTTCTCTTTGTTTGCCTTCTATTTCTTTTAAATATACCCTTTTGTCTATGTCTGTGGAGACAATCTGTAGAATAATAGTAATAATAATAATA